GCTTTGCTGCAGGGTTTTTTTTTTTTTGCCTTCCTCTGGGTCAACTGTGCGTATAGGATTATAATTTTGTTTCTTCACTTTATGGTTGAACTAGATGTCTGCAGTCTCTACCATTTCTTGTCGTGTGTCTAGCAATAAGTAATATGCACAACCCTTTGGTGTGTCAGGGGCTGTCTGCAGTCTCTGACCATCTCCTGTATCATGTCTGCAGCCTCTGACCATCTCCTGTAGTACATCTGCAATATCTGACCATCTCCTGTAGTACATTCACAGTCTTTTGACCATCTCCTGTACTACAGTATGTCTGCAGTCTCTGACCATCTCCTGTACTGTGTCTGCAGTCTCTAAGCATCTCCTGTACGGTGTCTGCAGTCTCTGAATATTTCCTGTAGTGTCTAGCACTAAAAATTATGGACAACTCTTTGGTGTGTCAGGAGCTGTCTGCAGTCTCTGACCATTTTGTGTAGTATATCTGCAATCTCTGACCGTCTCCTGTAGTATGTCTGCAATCTCTGACCATCTCCTGTAGTATGTCTGCAGTCTCTGACCATCTCCTGTACTATGTCTGCAGTCACTGACCATCTCCTGTACTATGTCTGCAGTCACTGACCTTTCCTGTAGTATGTCGAGCACTAAATAATATGCACAACCCTTTGGCTTGTCAGCAATCTTTGACCATCATTTCCTGTAGCATGTATCTGCATACATCTCTGTATCTCTGACCATCTCCTGTAGTACGTCTGAAATCTCTGACTATATTTCCTATAGTACATTTGCAGTCTCTGACCATCTGCTGTAGTACATCCACAGTTTTGACCATCTCCTGTACTATGCCTGCAGTCTCCGACCATCTTCTTTACTATGTCTGCAGTCTCTGATTATCTCCTATACTATGTCGGCAGTTTCTGACCATTTCCTGTAGTGTGTCTAGCTGTAAATAATATGCACAACCCTTTGGTGTGTCAGGAGCTGTCTGCAGTCTCTGACGATCTCCTTTACTATGTCCGCACTCTCTGACCATCTCCTTTACTATGTCCACACTCTCTGACCATCTTCTGTACTGTGTCTACGATCTCTGACCATCTTCTGTACTGTGTCTACGATCTCTGACCATCTCCTGAAATATGTCTGCAGTCTGTGATTATCTCCTGTACTGTATGTCTGCAGTCTGTGATTATCTCTTGTCTACAGTCTCTGAACATTTCCTGTAGTGTCTAGCACTAAAAATTATGCACAACCCTTTGATGTTTCAGGGGCTATCTGCAGTCTCTGACCATCTCCTGTAGTATGTCTGCAGTCTCTGACCATCACCTGTAGCATGTCTGCAGTCTCTGACCATCTCCTGTAGTCAGGGGCGGACTGACAACTCATGGGGCCCCCGGGCAATAGGGGATCATGGGGCCCCTGTGTCTTTGCCCAAACTCAAAAAAGCCTATGAAAAAGGTACCAGGGGCATCTCATGGGGCCCCCTACTGACCCCGGGCCCTCAGGCAGTGCCCGAGTTTCCAAATGGTCAGTCCGCCCCTGCCTGTAGTATGTCTGCAGTATGTTACCATTTTCTTTAGTGTGTCTAGCAAAAAATATAATAAACAGTAATATAGTGCAGCGCTAAATAGGTATAATAAAAGTCACAGTTAGAGTCAATATGTAGTTAGTGCAATGAAATAATGCCAGTAAACGTCTCTTTCTTTATGGTGCTCCCAGTAAGAGGACAAAAGAACAATTTATGCGCTTACCGAAAGCGCATAGATCATGCGCATTGATATATCCAAGACCAGGAGCATCAAGGTAACATGGTAAGCATCTGGGGCATCCATCTCCGAATGGGCAGCTTAGCAGTAACTGGGTGATGTATATTCCAGAGGCCTCCTTTAAGGATCAGCAGGGCCAGCCACCTGATTACAGGAATTCCCCTCCCCTGGATGGTGAAGTACTTCCCAAGGTCTGCATACTTAAAGGCTCCATAAAGGAGCCACAAAGAAAGTGCTCATAGTGTAAAATTGCCAAACAGGTAATCAATTTATTAAGTATCAAGTTACAATAACATAGGTACACTGACCAGTAAATAAAGGTGGCCACCGGTCCAGAAAATGGCTCCGGTGGCTAAACGTCACAGTGTGTGGATTCCTTAGACCTTTCGTGCAACCGCACGTCTTCAGAGGAATATCAACACTGAATGTTGATATTCCTCTGAAGACGTGCAGGTTTCTTCACAGTAAGGGCTCGTTCACACTTGACTGTTTTACCAACTCTTGCCAAACGCCCCTATAGTGTTTGGCAAGCGTTGGTCCAGCGTTTGCGGAGCGGTTTTTAATGCTCGGCAAACGCTCCGCAAACCCCGCGTGCATGATTCAGCGGCGGTTGCTAGGCATTTGCCGAGTGTTAAAAATGCCCTACAAACGCCTATAATGAAGTTTGAATGGTGCTACCGCTCCGCAAACGCCCCACAACCGCGTCACAACCGCCCCGCAAATGCCTGCCAGGTGTTTGCGGAGCAACACCATAGACTAGAATAGGAGGCTTCAACAGCTCCTGACTCGAACAGAGGCATCCGTTTTGCCGCACCGCGCCTTGATGCTAACGCTCCCGTTAGAACAGCACCATGTGCTGCAATGTGCAGAATTGTCCGAGGCGTTTAGGAAGCGGTAAAAATGCTTCCCAAACGCCTTTCTGCCGCCTGCACACAACGCTAGTGTGAACGTAGCCTAAGAGATGTGGAATACAGTCCCTCACGAGTTGGTTCTAGCCAGCTCAGTAGATTGTCTTAAAAAGGCCTAGATTCTTTTCTAAATACACAGAATATAACTGGTTGCTAACATTTTTAGGTAAAGTTTATACAAGGAATATCTGATTGCCTCTCGGGGGATCAGGAAGGAATTTTTTTTCCCTGCAGGAGCAATTTGGATCATGCTTTGCTGGGGTTTTTTTGCCTTTCTCTGGATCACCTGTGGGTATAGGATTACATTTTTTTTTTTCTTTCCCTTCCCCTTATGGTTGAACTAGATGTCTGCAGTCTCTGACTTTTCCTTGTAGTGTGTCTAGCACTAAATAATATGCACAACCCTGTGGTGTGTCAGGGGCTGTCTGCAGTCTCTGACCATCTCCTGTAGTACATTCACAGTCTTTGACCATCTCCTGTAGTATGTCTAGCACTAAATATTATGCAGAACCCTTTGGTGTGTCGGGTGCTGTAATGCAGTTGGAAATCTACCATTGTTTCTTTCTTTCATGTAAGTTTATTTTTTTTTTAACTTATTAAACATTTATTTTGAATATAATTTAGGGAAATTATATGATGAACGCATGTAATGTAGGCAGTGTAATATGTAGGTGGGGTTTTGTGCAGGTGTGGACTCAGGACACAGAGGTATAGTCTGCAGAGAATTCTCACCCAAGGTACAGGGAGATCAAAGTGTGCACATACACCTTTTCCCCATGCTGTGCCCTGCTGTTGCCCATGATGAATTATACAGTCAGCAGCCAAATGTGGCCATCATCATCATCATGATAGTCACACATTACAGGAGCTTTGAGTCACAGCACCTGTACTGTGTGATTATCATGATGATGATGAACATAGGACAGTGAAATGCATCCTTATGGTGGCCATACACTAGATGAAAAATTGTTTGAAAATCTGTCATTTGGACAGTTTGTTTTTGTCCAGTTAATGGGCACAAATCGAAAATCGGTAGAGACATTTTTGAGCCAAAGAAATTAAAGGAAAAGTTTGGAAAATGTCTACTGAATGGGTGATAAATTGAAAGATTAATGTGTTCCTTGTCTGTTAAGATTTGAACTGTTAGAATTGGGCATACATGACCCTGAAGCAAAAAACGGATGAAAAACTGATTAACAATTTATCATTCAAAATTCGATCATTACATGATGGCAATATTGACTGTTCTCATGACCATGTGTTCATTTTTTAAAAACTGTTTTTTTGGGGGGGTTTTCTGACTAGTGTACAGCTAGCACAAAGCTACATTCATGCCAGCGATTAGGGCCTGTGCAAATTGTAGCGGCAGTTTGTCCTGTGGCACTCAGCAGGTAGGTGCTGAGAGCCACTTCAATAAAACTTAATTTTTAATGAAGTTCTTCTTCAAAGTAGGCTAAGCAAAGTGTTCTCTATTTTCAGTGTGCACAAAATTATAAGTAATGGCAGTTCTTCATTTTTAAAAAAAAATGCATGTCTGAAAGTTTGTTCTTGTCTCTGAGACCCTTGTTTGTGGCACAGCAATCAAACTTTTTTTGTGGGTACAAGAATGCTTTATTTTATGTAACCATTTCCCTTTAAGCTCCTCCCACTATTACCCCAATTCAGTGTTCACCCTGGCACACTGCAGCGTTACTGCTGTACTTAGGGTACCCAAAGGTAACCCAGGTTTTTTACAATCCTAGCTTTGCCCCTGCCAGGTGCAGACCTTTGCAGTGTCTTACCACACATGAGTTAATGTAAGCTGCAATAAAGCATCTGTACTTTTTTTTTTTTTTTTAATGTGTGGCATTGCATTGTGTTATCAACATTCATGGTAATAGACAAATGACCAAGTAGTGTATTGAATTTTAGTTCCTTTAATTTTGAATGGAACCCAATACACATCCACAAGGAGCCACAACAGACCTGCCTTTTGGACAACCACAGTGCACAGATTGTGGATCATTGAGGATTTACATTAGGGTGCTATTCAAAATGAAAGGCATACAAGTGAACCAGACAATGGATTGTGCCTTACCATGCTTTGTGGTAACTTCTCCTAAAAACCCCCTGTTACCAATACAAAAACCTGTGAATCTGGCCCAACCAGTTTGCATGCTGGGTGCTTGTTCTGAAAAACTTACTTTGTCCTGATAAAAATTGCTTTAAGTTCCATCCGCCTTATAGCAGAAGTACTGCTACAGGGCAGCGCGGCTGTGCAAAATGCACACATATACATGTATAATCTATATGTGATTTTTATTTCTGGGTAGTGGGCGTGCATGCCACCCTACCTACACCACTATTGGCGGCTGGGGATGTCAATCACCGGGTCCCGGCCGGCACTCAGTGACCAATGGCAAAGCTGACAGGGGAGAGACCTGTGTGTAAACAACACAGGTCTCTCTCCTGTCAGCATGGAATTCTGCTTTGTATCTCTCTGCTGTGCAAAATTTAAAGGAACTAAAATGCAATACAATACTTGGTCCTTTGTCTATTACCACGAATGTTAATAAAACAATGCAATACCACACATTAAATACTGCACAAAAATAGCTGTGCAATAAAAAAAAGTGCAGATGCTTTATTGCAGCTTACGTTAACTCATGTGTGGTAAGACACTGCAAAGGTCGGCACCTGGCAGGGACAAAGCTAGGATTGTTAAAAAAAACCCTACAGCAGCACACAGCACACACGGCACACAGTTAACCCCTTTTTATCGCCACAGATGCTAAGCCCTTCCTGCCCAGTGTCATTAGTACAGTGTCATTGCTTTTTATTAGCACTGATCACTGTATTAGTGTCATTGGGGATGTCAGTGGCAGTTAGTCAGTTTCCACCCAGTATCACAATGCCCATTGCAGTCTGGCCGATAAGTTGCTGATTGTTGCCATTACTAGTAGAAAAAAAACAAAACTGCAGTATATATACCGCCATTTGAAGACGCTATAATTTTCACGTAAACCAATTAATATACATTTATTGGGATTTTTTTTTTAGCATACATTTTGACCTAAATTTATGAAGAAATTTGGGAGCAGCGGCTTTGTCAATGCAACCACTGTGTCTCAACTAACATGTATGGGACTGCCTGCAATGGGATGCATGGAGCACCTGATGCATACGCCCCGTGTGAATGAGGTCTTACATATAAATGATTTTGTATGAACATGTTTTGTTTCATACTCTGACTAAAAATAATGTATTGCTTTTTAGTGAAATATATTGTGTGGTTGCCACCATTGTAAAAAAAAAAATTTCAGGGGCACTTTTTTTTTTTTGCTGTGCACCCAGCCGGCCACTATAGCTGGAGAATAAACTTTAATTAGGGGCGGGGCATTTATTTAAAATGGATGTGGTTCTAAAGAAGGCATATTCTTAAAGCCGATGCCTAGACAAAAAAAAAATCTCTGGAGCTTTAGTGAGCATTTATTAAGATGCTGAGCAAACTGTTGGCGCTATATAAATCCTGTATAATAATAATAATAATAATGATGATGATGAAAAAAAACATAACCATGACACAGGTGAACTAGGACTGAAGTTTTTCCCCTTTAAGTGTTACCTTGAGGTTTTGAAGGACGCAAAATCCTTTTATGACTTGATTTAACTTGAGGCTGAGAGACAGACTTTAAGCCTTCAGTATTTGTGGCTTGCCGGTTGTTTTTGATTCTAAGAGCCTTTTCTTTCCTGATTTCATCTAGGGTTTTAATTTGAACTTTTTTCACTGGCTGAGAAATAGCCCTTGTCTCCTTTAAACTAACAGAAAGTGGTCTCTTGCCAGTAGTATCCCAAGCAGCTGGATCCTGGAGAAATCTTCTGTGCAAGGATGCCCATCTTCTTGTCTCTGCACTTCCATTGCAGGAGCTAATAGCTTTGAGTCTCTGTGAAGCTCTCCCACATTCACAGCCAATCTACTACCAACGCCCCTCCACCAGACCGCTGTATCCCTCATTAAATAAATATAGGAATGCACTAATATAACCAATATTTACCTAATAATATATATATTAAATAAAAAACAAAAGTTTTTTTATTGTTTTTTTATTATTTAATATACTGTATATATTATTGGGTAAATATTGGTTATATTAGCGCATTCCTATATCTATTTAATTACCTATACCAATTTTTGGGTTCAGGTTTGCTGCTTAGTTATTTTCATTTATTTATATTTGTTTATAATTTTTTTTTGTTTGGCGCTTTTCTGATATATCCTACTGTCGCTGTATCCCTCAGCACTACTCTGCCACCAGTGTGACCCCAAGCAGACCTCTTCCTCTAATACCTCCCTCAGCACACCTCTGCCTCCAATGACTCCTCCAGAACACCTCTGCCTCCAATGTCTCTCCAGGACACCTTTGCCTCCAATGCCTCTCCAGAACAGAATGACTCATTTTACACTGGTAGGTAATTTGGTTAGGGGACCTTGCATACTTCACTGCCATTGTTCTCTTGCTGCATGCTCGGTATGTTCCTTTACCTTTTAACTAATTGCACTCCTGAGGATTTACCCCCCTTAATGACCAGGCCTCTTTTTGCTACTCGGCACTGCACTAATTCAACTGATAACTGCGCGGTCATGCAATGCTGCACCCAAACAAAATTTAGGTCCTTTTTTTTCACACAAATAAAGCTTTCTTTCGGTGGTATTTGATCACCTGTGCGCTTTTTATTTTTCACGCTATAAACAAAAAAAGACCAAAAATTGTGAAGAAAAACGATATTTTTTACTTTCAGCTATAAAAAATATATAGTAAACTCAAAGTTAGTTATAAATTTAGGCCAAAATGTATTCTGCTACATGTTTTTGGTAAAAAAAAATCCAAATAAGTGTATATTGATTGCTTTGTGTGAAAGTTATAGCGTCTACAAACTATGGTATAGATACTGCAATTTAACCCATTTTTTTTGCGATACAGCGCTGTGCTAGTTTAACGGACAATTGCGCGGTCATATGGTACATAAATTACATTTAAGTCCTTTTTTCACACAAATAGAGCTTTCTTTTGGTGGTATTTGATCACCTGTGCACTTTTTATTTTTGGCGCTATAAACAAAAAAAGTTTTGAAGAAAAAAAACAATATTTTCTCATTTCGGTCATAAAAAATATCCAAAAAAACTAAAATTTCGTCATAAATTTAGGCCAAAATGTATTCTGCTACATGTTTTTGGTTAAACAAATCCCAGTAAGTGTATATTTATTGCTTTGTGTGAAAGTTATAGCGTCTACAAACTATGGTATAGATAATGGAATTTACACAGCTTTTACTTTCTGACTGCCCATCACATTTCTTGAGGTGCTAAAAATGCCAGAATAGTACAAACACCCTCAAATGACCCCTTTTTGGAAAGTAGACACCCTAAGCTATCTGCTGAGAGGCATATTGAGTCCATGGAAGATTAATTTTTTTTCCACAAGTTTCTGGAAAATGACAAAAACATTTTTTTTACACAAAGTTGTCATTTAAATGATTTATTTCTCACACAAACCGTGGGAATATGTGGAATTACACAGCAAAATACATTCTGCTACTTCTACCAAGTATGGGGATACCACATGTGTGAGACTTTTTGGAAGCCTAGCCTGAAATCCAATGACCACTTTGAAAGCCTGAAGATGCGTAACTTCCTCAATTCACTTCCTCACTACCTATCACAGTTTCGAAGGCCCTGACATCCCCGGATAGCACCACACCCCCCCCCCCAAATGACCCCTTTCTGGAAAGTAGACACCCCAAGGAATTTAAAAAGAGGCATGGTGAGTATTTTGCAGATCTCATTTTTTCTCACAAGGTTTGAAATATAAAAAAGAATAAAAAAAAATGTTTTTGTTTTTTTTCTTCATTTTCCAAAAACTTGTTGCAACAAATGAGATCTGCAAAATACTTACCATGCTTCTTATCAAATTCCTTGGGGTGTCTACTTTCCAAAAAGGGGTCATTTGGGGGGGGTTAGGTACTATCCCGGCATTTCAGGGCCTCCGAAACTGTGATAGGTAGTCTAGAAGTGTAATAAGGAAATAAAGTCCTTTAAAAGCCTGAAGGTGCTTTTTGGATTTTGGGGTCCTGTGCTTGGCTAGACTGCCAAAACGTCTCTCACATGTGGTACCTCCATACTTGGGAGAAGTAGAAGAATGTATTTTGGGGAGTAATTCCACATATACTGATGGCATGTGTGAGCAGTAAATCATTTAAGTGATAATTTTGTGTAAAAAAAAAAGAAAAAGATTTTTGTCATTTTCCAAAAACTTGTGGTAAAAAAAATAAATTAATCTATTGATCAACATGCCTCTCAGCAAATAGTCTGGGGTGTCTACTTTCCAAAAAGGGGTCGTTTTGGGGGGTGGGGGCGTTTTATGCCTAGCATTAGAAGTTTATGCCACACATCACTCACTCTTCTAACCACTTGAAGATCAAGCCTTTTCTGACACTTTTTGTTCACATGAAAAAAATCTGTATTTTTTGCTGGGAAATTAATTTAAACCCCCAAACATTATATATATTTTTTAAAGCAGACACCCTAGTGAATAAAATGGTGGGTACTACAATTTTTTATGGCACATAGTACTCGCGCAGCGATTTTTCAAAAGCAATTTTTTAACAAAAAATTTACTTTTTTTACTTTTAATGCACAAAAACACAATATATTGGCCAATTATTTGGTACGATATAAAAGATGATGGTATGCCGAGTAAATAGATACCAAACATGACATGTGTTAAAACTGTGAATGTCCTATGCAATGGTGACAAACTTCATACATTTTTAATATCCATAGGCAACACTTTAAAAGCCTTTAAAAGCTACCATTTTAGATTTACAGAGGAGGTCTAGTGTTAGAATTACTGCCCTTAATTTGACATTCTCGGCGATACCTCACATGTATGGTGCAACCGCTGTTTACATACCGGCACAGGGTCAACGCTTGTGCACACAGGTGTGCGTGCATGGGAGGGGCGAGTTTTTTTTTTTTTGTTTTTTTTTAAGTTGTTTTGATTTTGTTTAATTATTTTTACACTGTACCTTTCTTTTTTTTTTATCACTTTTAATGCTATCACAGGGAATGCAAATATCCCCTATAAATTCAATGGGCATTATCATATATTTTTTTTTTTTAGAAATCTGGGGTCCATCAGATATCTCCTCTGCCCTTACATTATCTAATCAAACCAAAATCGGTGTGATCAGATGCTTTCCCAATATAAAATGGCGCTGTTTATATCCTGCAAAACTGAAGTGATGAAATGCTTGTAGCTTCCGAATTCTTAGACTATAGAGATGATTGGCACCACTCTGGTCTCCAATCAGATCTATGGTCAGCTGGCAGAAACACCGGCTGCATTCTCAGGTTCCCCCGATGGCACGGGACTGCACGAGAAGGCCGTGGAAGGCAGCAGGGGAGGGGGGGGGCATCATATCCCAGCTGCTGCTTGTAAAAAACAATCCTGCAGCTAATTAGCCACTAGGATTGCTTTTACATGAAAGCCGTTTGCCGGCTGAAAAAAAACAATACCAGGATGATGCCTGCAGCTGTAGGCATCATCCTGAAATAACCATTCAAAGTCCAGTGATGTACCAGTACGTCGCTGGTACTTGTTGGGTGTATATGCTATGTTCTTTTTTTTTTTTTGTATGCAGCCTGTGGACTAAAGGAAAAAAAAGAGAAAAAAAAAAGTGTGTGGTATGCCCACCATTAGAATATACCGACCTGCATCCACCCACTTCTAATGGTGGGCACACATTAGGTCACACTTTGCCACATGCGCCAGTTCCAAGATTGTACAAATGTCTAAATAGTGGCACGCTTGAATAAAAATTGTCCACGTATAAGTGGTACCCCATATGGAAAAAGGATGACACCAGGTCCCAAACTATCTTGCC